AAACCCTAAACCCTAAACCGTCTTTCATCCCCCTAGGGTTCTGTATTAAACCCTTCGAAGGGACGTCCTAAACGCCACGAAGCATCCCAGCTGAACCCGAACCCTGTGCTGCTGCTACGTGGTAATTGAAAAGGTTCGGGTTAGAGTTGGTGTCTTCGGCGCATAGCAACAGCGCCTAAACCCTCCTAAGCCTCAAAACCTAAGCCAGCCCCATAAGTACTCCTGAACTCTGAACCCCGCACCATCGAACACTTTATCGAGCCCCAAACTTCTCGCCAGTCAGGTATCGTGTAAGGGCCCTTCGGCACACTGGAGCTGACGTACAAGCGTCAACGTGAAGGCGCCCTTGCTTGTATATAGGGATGTCAGGGGCTTTACCTAGACCCCAAGAAACTGAATTTCAGGGGGTGCCTTGTTATGACGTTTTTCTTGTTTAAATCCTGGAAAAGGTAGAGTTTGTTCCGGGTGAAGGTCGCGCTCAAGGTTGTGGGCTTTATACTTGTAGCCACGCGAAGCTACCGTTCGAAAACCTTCAAAGCCCTAAACCCTAAGCCTCCATGTACCTTTATGGTAGATACTTAGGCCTTAAAGGGGTCCCTATAGAGGTACTTTAAGGCCTAAGTATCTACTATAGGGGTACATGGAGCCTTTGGGTAAACCCTAAGCCCTGGCAGTGCGGCGGTTTCTTAAAGGTTCAGGTAGGGCGAAAAGGGATACGACAGCGAGAAGGGTTCGTTTAGAGTTTAGGGTTTAGGGTTTCAGGGCGAAGGGTTCGCTTTGGGGCTGACGGAGTGAGAAGCGTAGAGAGAAGGGCTGCAGGGTTTTAGGGTTTTAGAGTTCAGGGTTTTAGGGTTTAGGGTTTTAGGGTTTAGGGTTTAGGGTTCGTTCTCTCTCTCTCTCTCTCTTTCTCCCTCTCTCACACACTCTCTCTACCTCTCTCTCTCTCTCTCTCGCCTCGTGGAGCTGGCAAGTATTTTCTGACACAAGAGGATACTGTATGCAGATCTCTGTGATTTTGATCCTGTCCACCCAAGCCTAAAGCCCCAATTCCAGACGGAAGAGAAGACGGACACCCAAAACCCTCAACCCAAAAACCCCAAACCCCTAAACCCAAAACCCCAAACCCCCAAAGAAACTTAAAGTCTCAAATCCTCAACCCTAAAAGGTAACAGACCTTCAACCCTTTGCCGAACCAATCCTCGATCATATGGGTAGTTCCCTCCCTGTTTAGGTCCCCTAATATAGTACGGCACTCTTACAAAAAGGACCCCACAATAAACCCTAAACCCTAAACCTTGGGAACCTAATTTAGAGAACTACCCATGTGGGTAGCTCCCGTCCTTGGAGCCCTTGGTTGCGGGCCATTTTTTGTATGAGTCAATAAGGGCGCCACCTCCTGTTGGGCTCCCAGGAAAGGGTCGTAATTTGGAGAACTGCCTATCAAGGAATGAGGAACTTGTCCACTGCCTGCACTGACTGCACGGGGATGGGGTGTCGGGCTTCTGGTTAGTCTAGGGTCCGGGCTTCAATAACAAGCGACTTCTTCTCGATGCATATGTTTGGCTTGTGCCTTCTGAACTAAACAGGGGCGAAGCACTCATAGTGAGAGCAGAGCACGAAGGACGGTATGTGAAAGACTGGTGGGCCACCATCGCCATCACCGTCATCTTGGTCGTTATGAACGCTATGGTCATCATGATCTTCAGGATCATCACTATCATCCTGATTGACAATCTTAAACCAATGCCCCTTGACACCGGCTTGCCCCGGAACCCAAAGCCCCAAGTTGCCCCCAAGCCCTGCAACACAACACAGAACAAGGAAGAAGCACAAAGCAACAAACAGATATCAACAAAGCATATGAACCCCTAAACCACGCTAAAACGTCCTAACCAACAATACAACTACAATGCCCTAAACCCTAAACCCTAAACCCTAAACCCTAAACCCGAAGCCAGCTTCTTCACTTCGGCCACAGGAAGCACCTTCACGAGCGAGTTGACCTGAGGTCGGCAACCTGACTTCTTCGGGCTTAGTATACCCTAAAGGTCCAAAGGACCCAATAATTAGGTACTCGGTTTTAGGATAGTAGTTTTGTAGATTAGTATTTTGGAGAGTATATGATTATTAGGTACTTATGGACCCTTAGGGATACAGACGGGCTTAGTAGTTCCTTTTTGGGATTACCTAATAGGGTTTTAAATATAAGCCACAAAAAGGAACTACTATGGGGCCCATGGGTACAAAGGATCTATAGTATACAGACGTGGTTTCTGCATGGTGAAAGTTAACCTCCAAGCCCTTTTTGATCCTCATACGGTTTGGAGTTTTGCCGACCCAGTTTGGCTTGCCACCTTGATCTTTGAAATCCCATTAGCTGTTGGACACCTGGATAGGGAGCAGGGGTACCTTGTTCAGAGTTCTGCTGATTACAAGGATCCTACTATTTCGCCCTGAAAAGAGCCTTGCTGACGCTGATCCTGGCAATTAGCCTACCTGCGACGAATGTGCGGCTGTGTTGGGATTGCTTGATTCTACTTACCCAAAGGGCCCAAGGTACGTATCTCGTAGAATGTAGGGTTTATGTATTAGGAATTACTATCCCTGGTTTAGGGAAGTATCCCCTGTAACAGTACATAGGACCTTTGTGGGTTAGGAGACAGTCTTAGGTGTTACTTCCGTCTAGGACGTTTACAGGTGGGTAGTTACCGCCTTATAGAAGGTCTACATACCTTATAGAAGCCTTATAGAAACCCTATAGACCCTAAACACCTCACCTGTAGTTTCCTTTAATTCTGCTCCTCTCTGTCCCGGGATTTCCAATCAAGAAGACCTAAAAGGTCATACCCTACCTTTTTTAAGGTACCTAGTTTTTATGGTTCGGATCTGCTATACAAAAAAGTAGGTACCCTAAAAAAGGGGTAGGGTCTGACCGGTATGACCCTATATATCTTCCAAGGATATTTTTTTGCCTTCGAGTCACCAGACCATACAACAGCGCCTATGCCGAGAAAAAGCCCTAGCCAGATCACCGAAACCCTAAACCCCTAAACCCTAAACCCGAAACCGCAACCCGGGCAACCTGCAGTTTTGCCTTTCAAACCCTGATTCTCGAACCCCCAAAACCCTAAACCCCAACCTTAAACCCTGAGCCCATATAGATCCCCGACAGGAACCCTTTAAAGCAACCCTTAAAGAACCGGGACAGGGATTGGAATTTCAATCTGCTGAGCCCCGGGCTCAAGGAGCAGGGCTGGGATATCTCGCAGTTTAGCATTTAGGGTTCGGGGTTTAGGGTATAGCTGTGCTAAGTACGAATGTAGAGGCCTTGATTGGCCTAGAAATGAATCTGTGTTTAGTAGCGGTGATGGTGAGATTTTCGCTTTTTTTCTGGGTTTAACAGAGGGGCCTTACTGATTAGAAAGTGGTTCAGGGTTGCATTATGCTATGACGATCATGGGGGATTTGTAGAGATGCCAACTCCCATGGTATAGAAGAGGGTTCCCAATGGGGTCCTAGTGCACCACATACCTCAGGGGGTTGAGTATTGAAGTTTGGTCGTTCCAGCTTGAAACTCCCGGAGAAATCCTTGCACATTTTCGCCATGTTGGGCTGCGGACCCAAAAAGCCCAAGACGGCCTTGGAGACCTATGCCAAGACACTGCGCAACGGCTCGGCGGTAGAAGAGGCGAGGATTTGGGCTTCCCCGCTGCAGATTTGCAGTGCTGGTTCAGGGTTTACCACATGCAAATGAGGATCTCGGAATTGATATAGGGGCCTTAATAATTAGAATAGGGTCTTGGGGCGCATTTTCCTATGTTTGTAATAAGGAGTTGGTAACTATTCAGGCCCCTATATCAATTCAAATAAAGCTTGTCTGGAATGGCATTGCCAGGCCGCTTTCTGTTTGTATCTCAGGGGGCCTGAACCACTGCTGGTGACAATGTCAGGCCATGCTTATGATCGTTTTTCATGAAGTTAACTTGGGTTTAGGGTTTAGGGTTTAGGGCTTACGGTTTAGGGTTAACCGCATCCTACGGCCTTGTCCACAAAGAAGAGATGTCGCAAGTTTGTTCTCACGATCGGCTGTCTTCGGCGGCGATCCTTTTCTGCGTTGGAGAGAGTCTTTCCAACGACAATGCCAGCTGAATCACCGCTGTTGTAGCGCTGTCATGATAGTGATAGTGGGGGCGGCGGTGGCGGTGGTGGAAGCACTGAAACATGATATTGGTTGGAACTGCGGTGATTATGATACTGGTTCTGACGATGATGCAGGCACGACGGTTACGGTAGTGGTGAAGAGGATGAAGATTGTGTCGGTGCTGGAGAGGATGATGCTATTGCTGACCGTGATGGCGATGGTCGTTGTGGTGGTGGTCATGGTACAAACTGACATGATGGTCGTCACAGTCGCCCTGGTTCGGTCGACCGTGAGCCAAAGGCTTAAACCCCGCAGATCTTAAACCCCTAGAACCCAATTTTACTTATCGAGCTCGCACAGAGCCCTTGTGGAATCCTCAGACGGCACCTTGCAGAAACCGCTGGTGGAGCGTTGACAACCTCAACTCGCCTACCCTAAACCCTAAGACCTAAGCCCTAAGCCCTAAGCCCTACACCCCATAAAGCAAGCCGCTTTGTTCAGGAGGCACCTATGCTTTTCCCGATGTTCACGCTGCTCGCCGGCAGTTTGAGATTCGAAACCCCAAATTTTTTAACCCTAAGCCCCAAGCCCTAAATCCTAAACCCCAAACCCTAAACCCCAAACCCTAAACCCTAAACCCTAAATCCTAAACCCCAAACCCCGGCCCCTCTCTGTTCGGTGGTTGTGGGGCACAGGGTTGGTTTAGGGCTTTTTAGTCTTCCATAAGCCCTAGAAACCCTGAACCCGTTTGTAGTGTTTCAAGGCTTTGGGGGTCTAGGGCTCTAGGATTTTGGGACTTAGGGTTGAGGTTGAGGTTTCTATCGATGTATGTCGGCTTTAGGGTATATGGGGTTTAGGGTTTAGGTTTTAGGGTTTGTGTAGGGTCTAGCGAGATTCTGGGCCGGTAGGAAGCAGATGGATTTGATATGTGGGGTGCAAGTTTTAGAGTTTGCTGTTGGTTGCGGTGGCGGCACTTTGGAAGCTAGACTCTAGTCGTGATGTCTGCGTGGAAAGCACACCTACAGTTGAAAATGCGTCGAAGTAGGTTGTATGTGGAGTCATGGATGCCCAACGTCGTCATAACCCCATTCGCCTTTGATGACTCAGTCCGGTCCAGGGTAGACGCTCGGTTGAGGGTTTAGGGATCTTGTCACTGAGCCTGAAACCAGTGACCCACGTTGCAGAGTGCTGCTTTGCAGTGTGTCCCCAGCGTAATGACAACTAGTTGCAAATCATACTATACTGCCGTCCATTCGTTTAAACGCAGAAAAACCGCAAATCCTAAGCTTCCCAAAACAAACCAAGCTTGTTGACCCACACCAAAACCCTACACCCTAAACCCTAAACCCTAAATCCTAACCCTAAATCCTAAACCCTAAACCCTAAACGAGAACCGTAAATCCTAAAGCCCTGATCCAATAGGAATCCCTCGAGGTGTGACCGAAGCCGGCCCTGCCGAAAGACAGCCTTACCACTTTAGGATTAGGGTTTAGGGTTTAGGGTTTAAAGGGTTTAGGGTTTAGGGTTTCTAGACCATAAACCCTAAACCCCTCAGGCTTTAGGGCATTTGGGGTGCAACCCCGAAACCTACAACCCGAACATGCTCCCCTCCCCAACGTAGACAGGAATGAAAGCAGTAGGAAGGCCTCAGGCACTACATGTATGTGTGTATACAGGTTTAGATTAGGGTTTAGGGTTTAGGGTTTAGGGTAATACAGGCGCTACATGTATGACCAGGTACTTCTTTGTGCGTATGTTTTTTGCATGTCGGTCTATCTATCTATCCGTCCATCTGTCCATCGATCTATTTACCTGCCTATCTATCTATCTATCTATCTATCTATCTATCTACCTTCCTATCTATCTTTCTTTCTTTGTTACATATAACCCATCTGTGTGCATCTGTATGTCTGAACGTGCAGGTATGACTGTATGTAAGTAAGTATGCATGTAATTCAGTAATGGACAGGAGCGGAATGGAATATCTGTGTATTCTCACACACACACACATATATATATATATAGGAATTAATATCGAAGTTGGCTTTTCAAGTAGAAAAAGGTGTTCAGCACAACGATAGGGGTAGTTCTCTAAATTAGGGTCCTTTTTGGGTCCCCAATATAGTACGGCACCCTTATAAACGGGACCCCAAAAGGGACCCCAATTTAGAGAAATACCCTAAACCCTAAACCCTAAACCCCATAGGTTGGAGCTCAGCAATCTTCTCTGCATGCCGAAGCTCGAGCCCTTTGAGGTCCTGCAGGCACTGACTGTGTTTGTTGCTTGTACTTGGAGGTTCATGGGTAGTTATAAATGGGGTTGGTCCCTTTAGGGGTTCCTTTAAAGGGTTCTATGGGGTTTAGGGTTTAGGGTTTGGAGGTCCATGGGTAGTTATAAGTAGGGTTATAAGTCCCCTAACCTGGGTTATAATTATAGATACCCTACTTATAACTCCATTTATAACTACCCATGAACCTCCAAGTATGTTAAACCAGCAAGCGACCACGCCAGAACAAACCGGATGTACAGGAGTCTTAGGTTCTTGACGGAGGGTTTATAGGTCAGAGATTCGGGTGCAAGGTGTCCAGCGTTCCGGGTTAGGTTGTGACAGCTGTTAAACACGCCAGTGTTCAAGCATGCGGACGCTTAGTGCTAAGCCCAGCCCATGTTCGAGGGTGCTAGAGCCCTGAACCCTAAACTCATGTTCCGCGTTGAAGTGCCGGGACATGCACTCTGAGCATTACTCCCTGAACCATTGGCTCAGTTTAGCGCCTAGGTTTCCGGCTAAGAGTTTCGGGGTTAATCCTAAACCCCAAACCCCCAAACCCTAAACCACGGCCGACCGTGGCTTGCACATGGGTAGTTCTTCAAACAAGGGCCCCTTCTAGGGTCCGTTTTGTCACACCGGGACCCTACTTTAGAGAACTACCCACATGACCTGGCTCAGGAGCCTTGAAAGCCCGGAGTTAAGTGCAGGCTTTGCCCTACGGGTCCATAAACCTCAACTTAATGGCTGAGCAGGTAGCCTTTACCTTTTTGGGGTTTATAAGATTCTGCCATAATTGAAAAGGTTAACCTTTTTTCGGCTAGGGTACTCAGCCCCCATGTCAAACCCTAAATTTTAGGGCCTACACCCTAACCCCTCAACCCTAAGCCTTGAATCCTAAACCCTAAGCCCTAAAGCCTAAACCCTCAAACCCTAAGCCCTATAGCCCTCAAAGCCCTAAAACCTAAACTGTAAGCCCTAAACCCTAAACCCTGAACCCTAAGCCCTAAGCCCTAAGCCCTAAACCCGAGGCCCTAAACCCTAAACCCCAAAACCCGAAGCCCTAAACCTTTAGCCCTAAACCCTCAAACCCGAAGCCCTAAACCCCAAGCCCTAAACCCCAAGCCCTAAACCCTCAAACCCTAAACTTTAAGCCCTATAAGCCCTAAACCCTAAACCCTCAAACTCTAAGCCCTAAACCCCCCGCCCTAAACCCCAAGCCCTAAACCCTCAAACCCTAAACTTTAAGCCCTATAAGCCCTAAACCCTAAACCCTCAAACCCGAAGCCCTAAACCCTCAGCCCTAAACCCTAAACCCTCAAACCCTAAGCCCTAAACCCTCAGCCCTAAACCCCAAGCCCCAAACCCTTAAACCCTAAAAATTTACGCCCTATAAGCCCTGAGCCCTAAGCTTTAAACCCTCAGCCCTAAACCCTAAAAGGACTTAGGATCTGTGGGGTTTTGGTTGTGGGGCCTCAGCTTTCTTTCTCGAGACTCCCAACAGTTTCTGTTACGGTTCCGGAGTTTAGGAGTTTAGGGTTTAGGAGTTTAGGAGTTCGGGGTTTAGGGGTTTAGGGCTTAGGAGTTTAGGGTTTAGGGTTTAGGGGTTAGGGGCTTAGGGCTCAATGAGCTAAAACGTGCTCGGTTTTTTAACAGCGAAAAAGATTATTGGACACTGAAATTAAACCCGCAACCCCAGACTTTGCGAGTGGATCAGTGCAATAGCAGTATATTATCCTAGTAAAACCATCAGTGATCATGATGAGAATAGAAATAGTGATAAGTGATAATTATGTAATTTTCAATTAGTAAGCAAACAAATATAACAATAATTCATCAATCATATTCATAACCACGGCCGTAAGAGTCTCCCCGGAGGCGGCACAGCTGCTCGTCAACTACACCAGCAGCACGCAGGGCAACGCAGTTCTAGTCTCACACCAGATGCTCATCTGAATCTAGCACCCGAAACCCTAAACCCTAAACCCTAAACCCTACAAAATACATAAAGCCCAATCCCTTGCAAGCCCTTCCACACGCCCAGCTGCTCCTCTGATTCTTAGACTTCATGGAGCGGTGTGCTTGAGAGTCTTAAGTAGCTGAGCAGGTAAACTGCAGTCCCTAAACCCTAAACCTTACCCTAAGCCCTAAACCCGAAACCCTAATCGAGACTCCCAACAACTCCTGTTACGCTTTAGGAGTTTAGGGTTTAGGGTTTAGGGGTCTATGGTTTAGGGTTTAGGGCTGAGTTTTCGGGTTTAGGGGTGTAGGGGTTTAGGGTTCGATGAACTAAAACGTGCTCGGTTTTCGCAAGAGAAATACATTATTAGACACTGACATTAAGCCCGCAACCCTAGACTTGGCGAGTGGATCAGTGCAATTGCAGTATATTGTCCTAGAAAAACCGTCTTTGATCATGATGATAATTGTAGTGGTGAGAATTATGCAGTTCTTTTAAATAGTAAGCAAAAAATATAACAATAATTAATCAATCGTAACAGGTTGTTGAAGGTTTTCGGGCCTGCGAACTGAAACCCGTAACTCACCACCATGCCAAGATGGCCCCTAGATGTTCGAGGGTTTGGGGCTTAGGGCTTAGGGCTCTCTTACGCATGATCATGATGCCCGAAGGGTGGCTTTTGGGTTTCAGGGTTTAGGGTTTTGGGTTTCAGGTTTCAGGGTTTCGGGTCTTGGGTTTCGAGGTTTAGGGTTCAGGGTTTACGGATCAACAAACGCATTGCAGTATTCGGAAGCACTCTTCAACGTGGGGACCCGATGCAGCTGTTTCCGTCTTTATGCCTGGAGAGGCTACTGATAATTTCATGCTCGCGGTGACTGCGTGAGTTCCATCGGCGCACACCTTATCTCAAACTCCCGACCTCTAAACCCTACACTCTCACATCGCCTAATAGAGGTGTCTGAGTATATTCAGTAATAGTGTCCCCTAAAAATCTCCCTAGGACAGAACATAGCTCCCACAACCCAAAGCCTATTTTTTGGATCAAGGCCCCTATTCACCAAAAAAAACCTGGACAAAATCCATCAACCTGTGACTCCTGCCTTACACTCTCGGCCATGCCCTAAACCGTAAACCCTGAACCCTAAACCCTAAACCCTAAACCCTGAACCCTAAACCCTAAACCGTAAACCGTTATCCAGATCCCCGGAACTCGCAGAAGAGGCGTGTAGAGGGCTCTGAGGTCAAACGGGCAAAAGGGATGTGAAACCAACCCAAAACGCTATAAACCCTATAAACCCAAATCATATAAACCCTCACCCCAAACCTTTAAACTCCGAGCCCCTAAACCCCAAAGCCCCTAAAGCCCTAAGCCCCTAAAACCCTAAACCCTTAAACTTCGAAAAAACAGCCCAGCTTCGTGCCTGGTTAGCACAGGAGGGTAGAAGGGTTAAGGGATTTAGGCTGTAGTGTGAAAGGTTTAGGGTTTGGGGTTCAGNNGAGTGGGGGGGGGGGGGTGCTGTTTAGGGTAGACCTATGAGGAGTCTCCGGGTATGAGATCACAAGTTATTTTGTCTATAAATGTATACTTTTACAGATAAATATTTATGGCTCGGAATAAATAGCGGTAAGCAGCAACGTAAAATAGACTTAAAATCGTAAGCCCAACCGGAGACGAGGTGATTTTTAAAGATATACTATGACCTACTGCTACGCCTTAGTTATTCGACTGGTTAAGTCAGGAACCCCAACTCTTCTGCACCCACCCGAACTGCTCATGTATAACCTACCCTAAA